GAAACAAAGGGTCTATGACACTATCGGGAAGATACTCTCCGCTAGGAAGAGCCAACTAGGGGTCGAAGTGCTCATATGGGAGAAGATGCAGTCTCGGGCTCGGGCTTTCTTAGCGAGGAGGTCAGCCCGGAGATTGGAAAGACGAGGGAGGAAACGTAATCGGAACGTCGGAAACATAGCTTGAAGGGATTTGAAAGAGGCGACTTCTGCAGCAAAGGTTGGCCAGTCCTTGGGGTTTTCCACTAAAGCAATAAGATCAGAGCAGTCTGAAGCGAAACTTACAGAAGTTTGTCCCAGTTGAATCATACAATCCATAGCCCATAGTAGGGCGTCAAACTCGGCGTGGAGGGGAGAGAGACTCCGTCGAATACTCCGTAGTCCTAAATGTTTGACGGAGAGATCTCCAGTCAGCACCCATCCCATTCCACACAGCGGATCAGAAGGGGACCATGAGGCATCACAATGACATTCCAATTCAGTATGAGAGGCCATTGGAGGATTAACCTGGGTGTGTACGGAGGAGTCTGGTTCCGAGGCTTTTGCAGTGGCCTTTCGCCAGACATCCTCCTCTTGCACAGCTAGGCTAAGGGTTTCATCCGGTGAGACCCGGAGATTCTCGAAAACAAAACGATTACGGGCCTTCCAAATGAACCATAGGATCCACGGGAAGGCTTGTAATGCTGTGACTTCTATCCCCGTATCTTGACCTCTCCAAAATAGGAAGTCAAAATTAGAGAATAAAGAGGAATTTGGGAAGTGATTCCCAGAGGTCGGGATGGGAGAGAGGGCCCAGACCTGACGAGCCGGGGGGCATTCAAAAAGAAGGTGATTTATTGTTTCTTCTTCAGCGCCACATTGGGGGCATCCTTTATCCCGTCCAATATGACGGTAGTGAAGGCGTTGACATGTAGCCAAACAACCTGATAGACATTGCCATAGGAAGTGTTTAATCTTCCTTGTGGTTTTAGTTTTCCAAACATGTGCCTGAAGTGCCATAACACTTGGTCCCTGAGAAGGGAGGTCACAAGATGGGCGACAAAGGGCTTTGGCGGCCCAGTATCCTGATTTAACAGTATAATTCCCTGACTTGGTATGAACCCAACTATAGTTATCGCTCAGGTAGGTTCGGCTAGGTCTAATGCCCAAAATAAGCGGAATGTCCTCCGGAGCCACCAATTCCCGCAGGCGGGGTAAATTCCAGTTTTGTGTATCTCTTATCATTAGATCATTGACATAAAGGTGCGGGTCTCGAATGTCAAGAATACTCTTAGCCGGTCGAGGAGGAATTGTTGGAATCCAGGGGTCCTTCCAGACCCGGGTGAGCATCCCGGACCCAATAGTTTTCCTCAGACCAGAGACTAGAAGAGGTTTGGCCGCGAAAAGGCTTCTCCAGCCATAAGAGGGACGATTGACCCTCACAATTTCAAGGGGATCGCTAAAGCGATAGTACCGACCCCGCATGACTCTACTCAAAAGGGAATTTGGAAACCTTAAGAGTCTCCACATTTGCTTAGCTAATAATGCTAGATTAAATTCTTCCAAGGTCCGAAACCCTAGACCCCCATCTGAGTATTGGGTACAGAGTTTCTCCCAAGCTAACCAGTGGAGGCCTTTACTATCCTCTTTGGAACTCCACCAGAAATTGGAGATGGCACTGCTAAGCTTGGTTTGAATTGCCTTAGGCAATAGAAAACACGACATTACATATGTCGGAAGAGCTTGCGCCACTGATTTAATCAATACCTCTTTGCCTCCTTTAGACAAGAACTTTAACGACCAGGTATTGATACGGCTCTGAAGGCGGTCTCGAACAAAGGAAAAGACTTGGGTTTTCGAGCCATGAATCTTCTCTGGTAACCCAAGATAGGTACCCATCCCACCCTCTAGGTGAATATTAAGGGTGTTTTTAATAGTAATCCGGGTAAGAGAATCAATCTCATGTCCGAACATAATTGAAGATTTTGCTTCATTTAGTTGTTGCCCAGAGGCCTCGCCATAGCAGCGGATTATATCCAAAATTGCCTGGCCTTGAGCAGGAGTTGCCCGGCAAAAGAACAAACTATCATCCGCAAAAAGGAGATGGGAAGTCGAGGGACTTGCCCGCGCAACTTGTAGCCCTTGAATTCTTCCCGCCCATTCAGCTTCAGTTAGTTGGGCAACTAAGGCTTCTGTGCATAAAATGAAGAGAAAGGGCGAGATCGGGTCACCTTGTCGAATACCTCTAGAGGGTTGAATATGGCCTCTTGGCGAGCCGTTAATGAGAACTTTGTACGAAACGGATTTAATACAGAACATAATCAGGTTAATCCATTTCTGGGTAAACCCCATTTTGGCCATTAATGCCTCAAGGAAGGGCCATTCCACCCGATCGTATGCCTTACTCATGTCAGTCTTAATAGCCATAAAATTCTTTCGACACGACAAGTTTGTCCGTAAAGCATGGAAATTTTCCTGCGCAATCAGGATATTGTCAGTGATAAGTCGCCCTGACACAAAGGCCGATTGAGTCTCGGATATAAGATCCGGAAGTAGTTTCTTTAGCCGCGTGCTAAGAACCTTGGAGATGACTTTGTAACTTACGTTACACAAGCTAATTGGGCGGAATTCATTCATCGAACGTGGGCGTGTTGTCTTAGGGATAAGGCAGATGTTTGTCACATTTAAGGAATTATCAAAGGTTTCCGTAGTGAAAAAGTCTTGGACAAGTTTGATTAGGTCACACCCAACAATATCCCAAAATTTCTGGTAGAATAGAGCTGTTAATCCGTCAGGCCCAGGGGTTTTTTCGGGATTAAGAGAGAATAGTGCTTTCCTGATTTCCTCTGAAGAGATTGTCTCCAGGAGCTTTTGGTTCATATCGTCGGTAATACTCACAGGTACATCCTGGACGGCAGCTTGAATATCACGAGGATTGGAAGACGAGAAAAGATCAGAGAAATACTCCACCGCAACCTCTTCAATGTCCTCTTCCTTGGCAATCCATTGATTATCCTTATTAAGTAGGCCCGTGATTCTATTCCTGGCTCTTCGTTGTTTGGTAATCGCATGGAAGAATTTAGTATTCTTATCTCCAGCTTGTAACCACGATTCTCTGCTTTTTAATTTCCAATATAATTCTTCTTCGCGATACGCATCACAAAGTTTCCACTTCAAAGCTAGAAGAGCTTCGGAGGAGATGTTCTCATTCTCATTTGCTGCATCTATCTGGGATTGGAGGGATAAGATGAGCTTTTGAGAATTTGTAACATTTAATTTTCTCCACTTTGAAATCGAAATTCTGCAATTCCTGATTTTTCGTGGGAAAAAACCCCCTATGCGTTGCCTAGGGAAGGACCAACCTTTTTTAACTGCTTCCTTAAACCCTGGTTTGCCAATCCAACGCTTATCAAACATAAAGCTCTTGATGAATTTATGAGGTTTATTACTGATAGTAGCCAAAAGGGGCCTATGGTCAGATGCCCACATTTTAAGGTACTCCACATTTGTGTGGGAAAAAATATTATGCCATTCTTCGTTTCCAAGGGCCCTATCTAGTCGGGACCGGATAAGACCACATTTTCTACGCCCGGCCCAAGAGAGTGAGTTTCCTTGGAAGGGAAATTCGAGCATACCACAATTGTTGATCATTGCCCGAAAAGGAAGGAAGGAGGATTCAGATCGTTTTTTCCCCCCTAGTTTTTCATGGTTTCCGATTATTTCATTAAAATCTCCAATCATGAACCATGGTTCCGATCTAGAGATTCCTATGCGAGTTAGTCTTTCCCAAACTTCTTCTCGGTTTTGAACAACCGGATCACCATACACAAAGGATAAAAACCCCCGATTTCCTTCAATAATTGTTTCAATATCAAGTACACGATTGCTAACATACAAGAATTGAACCGGATAATCACGGGAATACATAAGAGCAAGACCCCCACTATAGCCAGAAGGGTCTACAGTATGAAGGGAGTCAAAGCCTAATTTGATTTGCAAATCTTCTAGAAAACTACGATCATTTTTTGTTTCCGATAAAAAAAGAAAACCTGGAGAGAATTTACGACAAAGTTCTTCCAGTTAAGATCTTCATGGAGCGGTCCCGGGGCTTGACAATTCCAAGCTAAGATCTTCATGGAGCGGTCCCGGGGGGGTTAAGAGGCCCCTCGGGAGTAACAAGGTGATCGGGAGTCTTGGAGGTAGAAAATGGGTTAGCACTAGCTCGGGGAACCGAAGAAGAAGTCTTCCTTGATGATCTCGGCCTTGAGTGACCGGATTTGGACGAGTGGCGCTTACGGGGAGTACCTCCTTTAGCAAGCTTAATTTTCCTTGAAGCCGAATTCACATGGAGAGATGGGCTCTTAATGGATCGTTTGGACGGCCCAGCAATCAATGGAGAAGGTTTCGTAGTGGGCCTGGAAACAGCAGGAGGCCCATCACTAAGCACGGAGGAGCCCGAGACAATCTTGCTCTTCAGAGTTTTTATCTCGGCCTTACTCGCCGGAATCGCTACTGGGGGAGACAGCGGACGGTGAGCGGCTTCCTGATTCTGGAGGGATGCATGAAGATCCTCACCCAGAAGGTCATCGTTCGCAAACATTTCATCATCCATGGAGCCAAAGCTATCCGCATCGGGGTCGTCCATCTGCGCAGCTTCAAACGCCTGGTCGGAGGCGAAAGGCGGCGCCCAAACAGCCTGGGCATCAACCGGAGCTAGGGGAGGATCCACCGCGGCAGGAGCCGAGAAGGGAGAGATTTCAGCCACAGCGTTCTCCGCCTCTTCTTCCAAGGTCATCTCATACCAACTTTTACGTCTCTGGGTGGATTGATTATCCAAGGATAGGTTGGCAAAAGAGAGAGGGGGATGAGGATCCACACCATTTTTCTCCTGAACATTGAAGTTCAGGGATTTTTTCGCCGAGCTTCCTATCTCGGGAGGATTATGCGTCGAGGTTCCGGACTTGCTCCCGGGAGACTGGTGACTAGATGATGGGAGCTTTGATTTCTTCTGAAGAGTGAGACGGAAGGGACGATCGCGGGCGTAATCTGGGGAGAGGCAGTCTTGCTTTGCCTTGGCCTGGGAGAGGTAGGGATCAGAGAGCGTAGCTTGTGAGTCAGAAACTGTAGTCAACTCCAAGTGCTTGGGATTCGAGTGCTGTGAGATGTTCTGAGGGATAACACCATCATCACCAATACGCAGGACCGACCGGTTACGTGGGGAAAAGTTTTCATGATTCTCGTCATCATTCTCAACATCATCCATCTTGCCTTTCCCTTTTGGGTCTGAAATATGCTTTTGATGTGGCAGGTGAGATCGGTGGGGGGCTGGAGGAGCGCCTTCCCTACGGGAAGGAACTTGATAGGGAGCCTCACGACGAGCTTTCTCTTTTCTCACCACCCGGCTAGGCGAAGAGTCACGCTGATTTGGGTGAAGGGAAGAACGGTCAGACTGGCGGTTCTCCAATGGACGTCTTCCACTCGGTCGAGGAAGAAGACGAGAGTGTGAGCTATCATCCCTTGGAGGAGCTCTTAGGGACTTCTCCAGGTCGAACTGCTTCTGGTAGAGGATTCGCTGATCCTTATCCAGGAGAGGACAAGATTCAGGTTCGTGACAAATCCGGCGGCAGTATAAACACCACCTGTGGAGTTTCTCATAAAGCAAGGAGACCGAAACAGTTTCACCAGTTGGGATCTGTGCTTGTTTCTTAAACTTCAGGGGTGCATCAGCTTGAACAGAGACTTGTATCCTGCCTTTGGTAGTGTCAACTGCCCGGACAGTACCAAGAGAGGCTCCAAAGGCGGAGAGAGAGTCAAAAACCCAATACTCAGCAGGGATACCATCAATGCGGATCCAAAAAGTCATGGTGTCGGGGAAGGAAGCACCAATGTGCGGCTGCCATCTCTCCAAAGCGAAGGACCAGTGGTTGAAGTGACAGGGACGCTTATTCAAGACCTTGAGTAGGTCCGCTTCAGTTTCGAAGAAGAACTGAAAGCGAGATTCTCCGAGAGGGATACCACGAACATGTCCCTCTAAGTCCCAAATATGCTCCTTGGGGAGGGTAGAAACGAGAGCAGCCATGCTCCGACCTCCACGGTGAAACATTCTGCCAACGAGACTGAGGTTAAGGCGAGAGATTATAGCCGAGTTGTCCACAGGTGGAAGAACCACCACTTCATCATCATTGTCCTCTAAAACAGGGAGATTTGCAGCCTGGGGAGGTGGAGAGGATCTGTACCAACTTGCCCGGGGACGACGAGACATGATGCTGAGTTGCTGAGGAGAGAAAAAAGAAAACGCAGGATGTGGATAAAAGTTTATAGTCAAAATCACCGGAAGCAGGAAAGGTGAGAGGAAAAGGAAAACAGCCTGAGAATAAGTAGAGGGCGTCTAAGGTTTGAGAGTGATCTCAAAGCTCAGAGAAATCCAAAAAAGAGAGAGCAGGGGAATCGTGTCTCCAACAAAGGACAACAGAAGAGAACCAAAGAGGGAAGGCGTAAACAGCATCACAGCGTCCTTTGGATTCAGCGATGACCCAGGGAGAAAGAAGAACAAAGGGGCATCGGACGAACCATCAGGAAAAGAAAGCACCTCCTTGACCGGCGGGGGAAGCAAGAAACTTGCCTAATTTGGAATTCGGAGAGAGTCAAGATCCAAAACTTTTGAAAAACCTTTCTTCATTTATATTTCGAGATATATATGTGACTTAGATGAGTTGACCTTGTGCGCTCTTTCTTCCTCTTTCTCTTTCTCTTTCTCTCTTTATATTTTGTGTTGTGGGATCATTGTAGCTTGTGGAGAGAGCACGTCAAGCCAACGCTACAGTTTAACTAGAGCAATAATTCTGCTTTTTTTTTGTTTTTTTTTTTTGGTTTTGTATTGTTCTACC